GAAACTATTGTCTCACTAAATGTAGGGTTGCCATCTGAATGGTTCTAAAACATGAAACTATTGTCTCACTAAATGTAGGGTTGCCATCTGAATGGTTCTAAAACATGAAACTATTGTCTCACTAAATGTAGGGTTGCCATCTGAACGGTTCTAAAACATGAAACTATTGTCTCACTAAATGTAGGGTTGCCATCTGAACGGTTCTAAAACATGAAACTATTGTCTCACTAAATGTAGTGTTGCCATATGAACAGTTCTAAAACAAGGAAAGCATTTGTTGGTGTTCAATAATTTTAGAATTTTTATCAAGTCAGAAATATAAGTTAAAAATGAGGCAAAGTAAGAAACAAAAAACTGCATTTTAACTACTGAATAGGAATTGTTTCCATAAAGTACATAACTGGTAATCCTACACCAATATGTCTTGTTTTTTGCATTTGGTACAGAAGCATAGTTTTTGAAGTTTCATTTTACGTAAGACTAATTTTAATTATTATTTTGTTAAGTTTCATGTATTGTAGAAAGAATTAAATTCATTATGCTTTGTGACAAAAGGTCTTCAATGGAGTTTTATTATTATTATTATTTAGGCTCAAAAATTGTAAAAGATAGCAAAGAAAGTTTTGTCTTCCTGAATGATTTTTATCTCGAATCAGAATGAGTTATTATAAATAGCTGCATCTAAGTCTTGACCAAAACAACTTTAAATATAATTGCGTAAGTGTATAATTGTCCATATTTGACTAAAACATTTTTTTTGTGTTCAATGAACTTTGTTGTTGAAAGAACTTTCTTAGTTGTCTTTGGTGGATCATTAGGTCCTGTGGTCCAAAATTATCTTTCGTAATATAAAATTTAATAACTAAATAACTATAGAAATACAACTATGCAGTTTTCAACACCTTGTATCCAAACTCAAACAGTTTTTATTTAAATGTCAGTAAACTTCTATGTGTGCATCATTAATGGCTCTCAGCACGTCTAACCGATATTCGATTTCAGTCCACATTCGCTACAACATGTCCACAGTTACAGTGTTGATGGCATCAGTTATCCTGGTATTTAGCTCCGTGATGTTTTCTATAGGTGTGAGATACACGACGTCCTTAAGATACTCCAAATAAAGAAGTCTAGTGGAGTGATATCTGGCAAATGTGGAGGCCACAGAATTGGCTCACCAGCTAGCCAAATGATGCTTTGAGCCTTTTTTTGCACAGTTGTTGTTTTATAGGGCAACACTACTCACTGGAGTGAAAAAAGAAGTAAATAAAAACTGTTTGAATTGGGCTACAAGATTTTGAAAACTGCACGGTTGTATTTCTTTAGTTATTAAATTTTAAGATAGGAAAGATACTTTTCGACCACCGTTAAGTTTGTTGCAAAACTTATTTTGACAATTTTGAAAAAGTAGTATTAGTACAATTTTAACAAACTGTGTTAAATAAAACATACACCCAAAGTAAAATGAGTTTCAGCTTGTAATGTTACATATCAGTTTTAATGTTAAAATAATATCAGATGAACAAGTCATTTCCTGTTTTCTTTCTGTTGTTGATAAATTGACTTGAAATAAAATCAAATAAGTAAAAATCAACAAAATGAATATAATTAAACTTGAAATGAAGAGTTTGTTTTGTTCAAAAAATAAGAAATTAAAAATTGAAATAGATATTTTCTGTCACTTTGTGCATCCATAAAGTAACTCACTTCCTGTATCTTCCATACTTGTAGGTCATTGATTGATAATAAAATGACTGTTACTTATAGAGTGAACATAAATTTTACTTCTGTTGAATCACCACAATTGAAAATCTACCACTATTTAATTATGGTATCATACCAAACTATATAGTTATCTGTAAAAGATCATCAAACAGTTTGAAAAGTTAGGCTTTTCACTAGTTTATATCTTATAACATCATCTTATAAAATTATTTAGTCAGTTGTTTTGTTTTTTTCTTAAATACATATGGATCTACTGTATAACACTTTTTTTTCTCCATTATTCTAGCACCAATACAGCTAGTTAGAGAATTTACTTGTTTAATCTTTGACAGCCATTTTTGGTGAAAATCTGAGTTTTATTAATCCTGATGATATATGAAGAAACTTTATTTCTGCTTTACTATTCAAACATATGAACATTCATAAACATAAGAACATGATGCCATGCAGAATATGCGGGTTAAGCATCACATTTTGCTTCACTATGCTATAATCTACTACATGATCACTATGAATGAGCTTAAAAAGGCAGCTGTGACAAAATGACAAAGATACTCAAGCTCTAATTAGAGATTAATTGTATTTTGGAGAGAGGATTGTCTGGGTTATAGAGTGCAATAAAAATGGAATACAAAAAAATATAGGTAAAGGTAGTGAAAAAGTATAAATTGTTCTGTCTGTTAGTCAGTCTGCTTGATGGTTTTGTCAATTCACCACAAGTGTTTTGACTTCATAGAAAATATTTACAAATGATTAACAAAGTTAAATACAAGTCATCATATATTAAATATGTTGTTGGATTATTGAAACAGAATAGCAAGAAGATTGGACAGGTTGGTTTGTATGACCAGCCTTATTTGTGAATGACTTTCAGATGAAAAAAATGTGTAATGTTTAATGGCATTAAATTAGCAGATGATTGCAGTCATTGAGGAAGAAATATTTTTTGTGTGTTTTTTCTTCATGTATACTGCTTATCACAGGATTGTCTTATGCCAGCTAAAAATCATTGGTTTTTATCCAAAGTTATAGAATAATTGGGGTATTTTTAAGAATATATTTTTATTTTCAATCTTATTTTTCATTATGCAGCGTAAAAGTACTGCATAAAAAGGCTGTTTATTCCAGTCTGCCAATATTTTTATTTTAAAAAATATCATCACATGGAAGAATGAATAATAAACAATAAACTCTCATCACTGGTCATAAAATAGTAAAAGATGGCGTGTATGCTAAACTAGGGGTGGGCAGGGACAAAAACAAGTCGTATTTTTTTAGTTGGCATTACATGAGTCAAGCCCTTCCAGGGCTTGAGGAAAACTGGCATACACTTGTTCACTGCCTAACCACCAGATTGCTGTTATTGTAATCAAAAGGGTCTATTTTCCGGAGCATAAGTGGTCACATTATCTTAAATGTTTAGAAAGTTAAAAAAGGTATTTCTGAATGTGGTTTAGGACTAATTAATAGTTTCTGAAATATAAACATCCTAGATATACTTAAGTTAAAGACACTTAAACTGTAAAATTGTTGAATTTAATTACTTCTGTATAACCTGCACTGATATGACTATAGGTGTAGCCAATAGTCAGGAACAGCAAGATTGTTCAGCAAGAAATAGAGGATTAATAAAGTATGGTTGGTACAGAACCAGTTCAATAAAACTAATAATGAATGTTAGTTTGTCCAGTATTTATTTTTATTTTTTTTAATCTTTAAGCATGGCTGTATTAAGCAGTAAATTTGTCAATTGTTGAATTTACAGTTTTTACAGGTAACAGATCTTTATATATATATATCAATATACAGTATATAAATATATACCAGGTTAGACCAGTGATAACAGGCTTCATTCTGTACCTTCATTTTTTTATAATTAGCATACAGACAGAGTGTATTTTTTTCTAGTTACAAATGTTGGGCTATGACATCAGTTGGGCTGCTTTCAACATAATTGAAGTTATGAGCTCAACAAAGTTTACTTTCAAGGTAAGAGTTATTGTTTAGTAAATGGTAAAGTTGTAAAAGCATTTGACTTAGAAGTGTGAACAAACATAATTTGCCCATTTATGAATATTTAATAATTTATGGTTAAATTATGCAAGATTACAGACATTAACTTCAAATGCAGTTAAAGACCATGGGTGTTAGTTATATCCAAAATTAATATGTGGTCATTGTAGTCTCATTTAAGGCTCAATTATTTAAAAAAAAATAATAATTTGACATTGTTGCAAAAATATAAGTTTAAATCCCTTTTTAAGCTACTAAAGCATTGTTGTAATCCTTAATACACTATTGAAATAATTAGGTTATTTCACGAAATGCTGATTTTTTTTTATTTTATGTTATGTTACATTTATTCATTACAAGTTAGTCCTTGGTGAAATGTATTTGTAATAAAACTTAAATAAAACATAAGATTGTGGTAGCCATGAGACAATGGCGGTTTATTTGGTTTTAACAAAATTAACTGAAATAGTGCAGTTCAATTTTACTATTTCATTTGTTGTTCTCCTGAGTATCTGAAAATTAATTATCACATGATGAAATAAGGATCAAAAAGTTTGTTGTTGTTTTTTAGTGAATTTCATTTTTAATCCAGTTTTAAAGAAAAAGTTATAAGCATGCTTTTTTTTTCATTTCTAGCGTACTGGTTATTTGGCTGCATCTCAGAGTTTCCACAATGAAACTGAAGTTTTGATGTTAACAACAAACATGATAAGGAAGGTGTGTTATATAGTTTTGTCTTTTTTGTGCATGACAAAATTGGGGGGGAAGTAGATGTTATCATGTGACATTTTATTATTTATTGTGCAGTAACATGTGACATTTTATTATTTATTGTGCAGTAACATTATTTTGAAAAAGATAATTACAAGAATATGTAATTGGAAAAAATGACTGTGTTGACTTGTAATTTAAATCTTTATTGACTGTTCCTTGTGCAGTTGTGTTTTACAAGTTTAGACAAGTTTTTTTTTTTGTTGTGTTATATCTTCATAATGATGTTTGGGCAATATATGTTGTTATAGTTTACACTAGAATGTATTTATTATTCAAATATTGCCAAAGTTTATGAAATTTATAGACTTTTAATGTAATGTTAAGTTGAAAGTACAGCTCTATAATGGTTTAAGCAACTTGTATAATTGATGAGATCAAGACATGGTCGTGTATTGTACAGCCAAAACAACCTACTGCAGGACACACTGTGTTGTTAACAGAAGTGATAGTTTAGCGAATTTCCACCTTATGTATCTCAGACTGTGGTAATCCTGACTATCACATATTTTCAGTGTATGTGCTCTACTGGTCTCTTACTTTACAAACAAAATTTCAAGGCAATCCATCAAGAAATACCTGAGATATTCTCCAATTTTTATTGAGTTTATTCCTTTTTTTTTTTTTTGTCACGAAAAGCACAAAACTATTTGATATAAAAACATACTTAACTTTTATGGAATTTTTTTCAAATTTGATACACTCATAGATCTTTTCAACCTGCAATTAGGAGTCTCATTTGGTGTGAATATTGTAAATATAAGGCATATGTGCAAAGTTATTCAACAAAATTCCCTCAAATTTGATAAATTTTTGTGTACCCCTGTGCAAAAAGTCTTGAGCTAATGCTCTAACATTTTTACTACATCTTTGTCTAAGAGTAAAAGTGAGCTGGTTTGAGTTTTTTGTCATTCAGGTTAAAGAGCAGCAAAACTATAAGGTGAAAGGACATACAGATACGTAAGTATTGGTTAGGGCAAGCAAACTAGATTAGCAGTTTCTAGCTCAAGTTTTTAAAAGAATCATATAGATGGACGGTTATTATTGATTATTCATTGCCAACTTTCAGCACAAATATGCTAACTTGTGAAATTCTTACAATTAAAGAGCATTTAGCATCACATGATATTAGCTTCTGCAATTAGCGTAAATAATGATGCTTGATACAGCTGTACCGAGTGCATGCAGATGATAACAAAAAACTGTTAATCTAGTTTCAATGGCGTTACTATAAAGGAATGTATTAACACTGTTTTTGAAAGGAAAAGTTACCATCATTTATTTTAAAGAATCTGGTTGGTTTTATAAAGTATAGGTCTGTTAATAATAATAGGGTTGCAATCCTAAAGCTAACGTGGGTTACTATTGAGTGTCACTTTCTTACTTGCTGTGGTTTGTTGGTGTGTATTAACAAAGAATCATGATATCTAATCAAAAATGCCTTAGGTCTGAAAAAAGGTGTGGTCAAAAATAGATTGAGCGAGTGATTTTAAAGGAATGAAATGAAAATTGGTGGCCAAACTGGTAGATACACTTATAGCATTAATAAGAATTTTACAGCAAATATTCATTCATTAGTTAGCTAGGCCACATATTTTGTTTTACTCACCATCATGCCTGAAGTTAAACAAAAAAATGTGGCCTGGCTAACTAACGAATGAGTATTTGAACATGAGTGGCAAGCATCATGGTGCATCTAAATATTTCATTAAATTTGTATATGTAAGAGTGTGGAAGAAAGAGAGATTGGTTTCATTTACTACCTGCCTTGTTTATTGTGATAAAAGCTTGGAATAAGCCCTTTCAAAAAAATTAAGGAAAATTTTTTTTTTCAAAATGATACTGAAAAGCATTGTATTTTTAACCTGTACATGCATAGATATTGATTATATATACATCTCATCATTTATTGTTTATTTTACCGTTTGGTGCAGTTATGGTAATATGCTGATCATTCCAATCACATTCAAACTTCATTATAATTCAAAAATCCAGGAAGAATTGATTACTAGCTTCAAAAAAGTTCTGGTTTAGCTTTCTCCATAATAATTTTGAAAGTTACAAACTCTTGCCTTTTGTTTTCAATTAAATAACTTCAAGTAGGCTAAGTCCTGATTTGAATTATTACCACACCCTTCTTGCATAATATAACATGAAAAACAAATTATTAGATTATATTTCAAATAATGCGACTTTTATTTAAGTTATTTACGCTCTTGAGAAAATAGATCCCAAAAATCGGTGTATTTGCTGCATATAACTTTACTATCCAATAGTGGTAACTACGATAGAATGATGGGTTTGCAGCACTTTTTAGCAAACCAGTATGAGACTTAAAAATATGCTTTCTTGCATGAAAACACCATTGGTAAAACAAAAGAAATTATTGAACTACTCATCTTGATATTTTATTTAGATATTCTGTATCTTTGCAAGGATTTTTCTGTTTTTCAAGTATTTTCTATTGTGATGATTGATACTGCAAACCAACCCAGTTAACAAACTATTAGCAGAAAGGATTGGAAAGAATTTACTATTTTAAATAGATTTTCTGTAAAAAAAAACTATTATATCACTGTTTCTTGTACGTTTTTTAAGGTACATAGTTGAGCTACAAATATATATTTTTTGTTTTTTGTGTACTAGGACCTAAACAGCCAAAATATATATGATGCTGGTGCTGCAATGACAGGACTGTCGTGTTTTGTTACACCAGATTTAGCACGTGACCTTGCCAATGACGTGATGACTCTTGTGAGTTAGAATTTGTTTTGTGTGTGCATACTTTATTTAACTGTTTTGTAAAATTGAATGTTCCACAGGTTTTTTCTGACTCAGCTTTTTTCCTGAATATATATATATATATATGTTTTGTTTGTTTGAATTTTGCTATTTTCCAGTATGGTTCAACTTGGATACACATGTAACTTTAAGCCTGGGTGTTCTTAATATATAGTGGATGAAGTCACAAAACTTTTGTAGGTCTTACATTTAACTGAGACTGTTAGAACTTCTCATGTGAAACATGGGATGCAGCTCTAAAAGCCCCCCAGTGGCACAGCGGTATGTCTGCGGACTTACAACGCTAGAAACTGAGTTTCGATACCCGTGGTGGGCAGAGCACAGATAGCCCTTGTGTAGCTTTGTGCATAATTAAAAACAAACAAACAGCAGCTCTAAAACGTGTAGACTTCTGTATTGAAAAGAATGTGTTATTATATGGTATATTTTATATCTCATGGAAAGGTGTATGTAGTTTTATTGAATGTGAATTCTGTTCTGAGAAATGTGGCTTTCTATCTGAAAAGTTACAAATATCCAGAATTTAGATTTCTGATTTACTCTGTATCTTGAGGCTTTTAAATATACCATACATGAGCTTTTTTCTGAGATTTCACAGACTCCCACAAACTTTATTTTGTGTGGAATGATATTGTTAAGTATGATAGCCATTCTAACTGTTCTTCAGTTCATGTTAAGCACATGCATTTTGCTTATAAATACATTTGTTTGTTTTTTTTGTTATTGTTGTTGGGGGTTGTGTTTGACATAAATAAGTTTAGCTCGAGTGATAAATATTAATAAGACAAGAACTGTGGCTGGGAATCTCTGGGACTTTGAAAATTTTTAGAAACCAATTTCCACAGATGAACTAATCAAAACACAGATTACAACTAGGAGTGCATTCTGGCAAGCAGTTGGCTGTTTCTGTCAACAGACTTGTTTCCGCCACTGGTTGTCAGAATTCTGGGAGTGTTTGTCATGTAATGGGTTTCCCAAATGGAAGACATTACTGTTCTTCTGAACATGTAAGCCTGCCCCACTGGTGTAAAGGTTAAGTGCTTGAGTGCATGTACTGAATGTCACTATAAATATTGACAATGATCCCTATGTCATTCAAGGTTATCGAGAGAAAATATGTAAACTCAGTGTAGGAAATAAATGTGTCAGTGAAGAATAAATAGAGTTGGACCTGGCTGATGAAAAAGATCACTGGAACGCAAAAGTAAATTAAGTTATCACTCAGTGTTTTGGTCCAAGCGACTTTCATGAGGATCATTTGGCCAAAACAATATTCATTTAATTCTTTTTTTTTTTCTTTTCCCTTTTAGCACTTTTTAATGATTTAATAATTTTCAAACTTTATCACACTACAACTGCACCGTTTTATTACACCATTTAATTCTAACAAACATTATTTACAACACTTACACTGCTTAGGGGAAGCAAATTATATATGTTTAGAGAGAATTTAACAGTTTTTTCATTGTTGCTGCATATTATTATGCCAACTATGCCATTTCATTGATAAGAATTAATAACTTTTAAAAGCCTTCAAACATGAACTGCTACATTTAAATGGTAAATCACAATAACTGGGACATTTTGAAATACAAGTTTGATTTTTTTAGGTAAATTTATGAATTATAATAAAAGAAACAACACCACTATGTCACTACACTATAACTGCTAACCAGCAAGCTATGTTACTTACACAATTGGCCTATAGTTTAGACAAAATGATTAGTTGTCTAATAAAGAGATGTGCATTCATCATTTAGATAAGTTCTTTGTCTTTGCATATTACTGTTATTAGTTTGTTCTTTTATCTGTTTCATTCTGGTAAACATAGGCAAAAAATTTGCATAGGCAGTTGCGGCTTTCTGACTGAGTACCAGCAGCTGTTATGAGTAATACATCATGTGTTAGCCAACTTTGTTAAATTAAGTTGTGCAATATCTTTTAAAACCTTAGAACTAATATAAATATATAGTATTTATATTTTCTATCATATACATAAAACTTCTTTGTCCTATACAACTTCTTTCAAATAGTAGATGCCAAAGCACACAATGAGACCTCCTGTCTCTGCTGTTTCCCCATTTGTGAACTTTGTAAGTATGAACAATTGCCTTCTCAGTTAGATATCAAATTACAAGTGAGAGTTTTTGTAAGCAGAAATTGATCTACCCAAGAAATTATTTGAACAAGTTAAGCACACATGGAAAAACCATTAAGTTAACTATTCATTACTTTTCTGAAGCACACAAACAATACTAAGCCCTTAATAACTTACATCAGCATATCCCAAAGTGTGGGGCGTAACCCCCCCCCCCCAACTAGGAGGTGCAAATGATATCTTGGGGAGGCACAAGTGATTAGAGTCAATAGAGCAATAATGCAAAATTAAGTGTTTTGATATATTTTTCATTAATGAAAATAATAAGTAATTACTTCAACACGTATAGTATTTTAATGCGTATCCATGTATAATATTTTGTCACTCAACTCTCTCTCACTTTCTAACTCATTTAAAAAGGGGGTGGCGTAGATGACAAAAGTGTGGGAAACATTGAATTACTCTGTTTCAAACATAACACGTAACAATCCTCATGATGTACTAACAAAAAGTTTGGAAATTTACATTCTATATAAGAATGGTTAAGTTCTGCAAACAAGAGATTGCGAGAAAATAATCCAAAGTTTTATATGATATATTTATGCTTTGACAACTTTTAAAATGAAAGAAGTTATAAAAAAATTGTGCAACTAGTTGAATTTTACAATTCTTGACATCAGCTTCAAAATTTACTATTTTTTAAATTATCTTAGCTAAAAGTAAACTTTAAACTTGTTCTAAATCCAAGTATTTCTGGCTTTGTTTCAACTAGTGATAAGTTGTCTCTGTGCAGGTGGGAAATTTATTTATTTACATGACCTGAATAAAAAAATTCCAAAAGGATACTAAAGATCGACAATTAGGGCTAAAGTTTTGATTTTTTTTTTCAATTATTTCATCCAAACAAATTTTAATGAAACATCAAAATGGCTTTATACAGATGTCTTAACCTACATAATGGGTTGAGTTCATGTTATTTGTTTTTCTTCTTCTTGATTTCAAGTTACATTTCTTCCAGTCACTTCAATAGCTGTAACTGTTTGCATTTTGTACCTTGGATAAGTGGAACTAGTTGTTTGTTAGTTGAATTGCTTCAGTTTGTTTTTTAAGTTATTGATTTAAGTATCTGACATTATTTTCCGAGAGAGTTCCTTACAGATGAAAGGAACATTAAACATAAAGTTTGCTGAAACATTTGTTGACTGGTTTTGTAATTGCTAACTATTACCAGGGTAAAGCTGGACCTGGAGCTCTTTGATCCTATTTTTGGAATATGCTCTATAACTAATCAGATCTAATTGATCATTCATCTACAGAACCTTTAAAAATTTGGTAAAAACAAAATCAGGCCTGTTCAGGGTGCCAAAACATTGTCTCATTGTCATTTTTTTTCAAGGGAGCAACAGATCCAGTTGCAATATCAAGGCTTGATTCCTATTTTCTAGACAACTTGTTCTGCCTGATTTTAATGTACACTTGTCTCACATACAATGTCAGAACAGTTAAAAGTTCTGGAAATGTACTTTTGCAGTTGTCCTTAATAAAGAAATAGAAACTCTTTTTGTCTCATGGAGGTGACAAAAATTCAGTTGATCAATTGCTTTCACATACTTATTCAGAACTAAGATATCAGTCATTCAATAAATGGTTTGTAAGCATAAAGCAGTTCCAAAATTTTCTTCCTACAGTGAAGAGTAACTTAAAGCACCTTCTTTGTCTCTTTTTGTTTTACTTCTAAAATGGAGTTTTTTTTTCACAACCATCAAAATGAATTAAATCTCTGCGAAATCTGTATCTGATGATCAGAATTAAGTGTTGTTCAATACTAGATGATGTGCAAAGCAATGTTTAAACAGAATAAAACAAACACGCAATATCAAAAATATTTAGCTTATTTTATCAAACATTTAATAACTCTGGTAATAGTTATCATGCAACACTAAGGTAAAAAAACTTTGATTATTATTATTTTTACATAACCAGTTAAACAGATAAGAGTTTGGAACTCTTTGTCAGAATTTCAGTTGTCCCAGGCAGTTGGATAACTGTTAATGTTGAGCCCAAGTATAAATTTATCAAAGCTTTCGAGTAGTTCTTTTCAGAAGAAGTCCTCTTATGAGTTAAGAAATTTCATAAGTTTTCTGAAAATTCTGTAAATCAGCATTTAAAGTAAAATTCTAATTTTCTAATTATTTAAAATCTGTGGATTGAATTTTCTAAAATTTTAATTTAACCATTTAAATTACTATTGTTCAACAGCTACCACTTTGGTGATTACCTTTGGGGTAATGTATACATCTGTCAAAACTAGTTTAGATTAGTAAATATATGTTAATTATTAACACTAGGATGTTTGCTTTAATAACAAACATATGTTTTATTTTGGTATTCACTATTAATTGTAAGGAAAGTGTAGTGATATTTTTTTATTATTTTTGTTGTATGACCAGTTGAGTTCCACAAAACCTTATCTCAGGAAGAAAGCTGTGCTTCTGATGTATAAGATATTCCTATGTTTTCCTGATGCTTTAAGACCAGCCTTTGCCCGACTAAAGGACAAACTGGAAGACCTTGATCCAGGTATTAAATGTGCTTTTACACTATTCGGTTATTATATGATGATATTAACAAATTATTAGTTTTTCAGTAAATGTACCTAGAACTCTGAAACACAACAATGTTAATAAGAGATTTCTAATGATATAGAAATCTAGTTTAACAAATCCTGAGTATAAAACAAATAATCCATTGTTCATACAGGTTTGATTCTTTACTTCCTCGCTGTGTGTGTGTGTGTGTGTGGGAAGTATTTCATTTAATGGTATTCTAACACATATATGAAAATGTATGGAATAAATAGTGTTTAATATTTATATGCCCATAATTTTTTTTCCAGAGCATGATGAATGTAGGCTCCTTACAGCCAAAATAATGAGTGTATTTCCAAATTCCAAAATTATTGTCTTCCTACAGTGAAGAATAACTTAAAGCACCTTCATTATTTCGGTTTGTTTTACTCGTGAGATGGAGTTTATTTCATAAACATAGTAAACTGTTTCACAGCCACGGGGGGAACGGCTACACCATATAGTACCTTATCAAGTGTGGCTGTGAAACAGTTTACATATTGGGGGGGGGGGGGCTACACCATATAGTACCTTATCAAGTGTGGCTGTGAAACAGTTTACATATTGGGGGAGGGGGGGGCTACACCATATAGTACCTTATCAAAGTCTATTTAACAGAAGAACACAGCTTTCATTGTTATCTTTAATAACCTCTAGACGAAAACAGTAGAACATCAAAATTTTTGCTTTTTACTTTTCTTTGTTATAAATTTTACTGTACTGCAATAATAACTAATGATGTACAACACATCCATTACATTTATATAACAATTTTTATATGTTTAGACTATGATAACCATTCATAAAATTATCAAGTTTCTTATTTTGAGCTTAACTATCATTAGGCCAGTGATGGGAAGACCTGAAATTTTAGTCAGTAACTAAAAAACAACTAATAAATACCAGCATAAAATATCCATGTTCTACAGCACGATTCAACTACTTCTATAGTTACCTCAAGAGTGAATGGGGAGAGAGGAGGGGTAGCTTATTGAGAAAACACCCCTGTTTGGACATCCACCCACTGTACCCAAGTATGTGTTCCAAGTGTGGTGTCTTGTTTACTTGTGAATTTGAGAACTAACACAGTTTTAAACATGACCTCCTGGAATCTAGAGGGAGGAAGGAAGCAGGAACACAAGACCTGATACAAGATTCAGGTTTATCAACCCTGATAAACCTATTCTTAGACCCCCATCATGCTTGGGTGACCTTACAGGGATATTTTAGCCCCCCCTTAGTATTGGGGCCACACCATATAGCACCTCAACAAGTGTGGCTGTGAAACAGTTTATATATTGGCGATTTAATTAACATTTTACAGGTGTTCAGTCAGCTGCAGTCAATGTTATCTGTGAACTAGCTCGTAAAAATCCAAAAAATTATTTGTCACTTGCACCAGTTTTCTTTAAGCTCATGACAAGTTCTACAAATAACTGGATGCTTATTAAGATAATCAAGCTGGTATGTATAAACTATTTCTCATTTTTGTTATTTAATATGGTGCATTGTTTTTGCTTTTTAACCCTATCAGCCCTGGTTGAGTCAGTTTGAATGTACTTTACAATGATTCTTAAAATGTTTTTCTAAAATTACTATAACTATTGTCATTAAATTTGGGACATATTTTCAAAATAGTTATTGGGCAATTGTGGTTAAAAAAAATCAATTTTTGGTTCAAACTCTTGTTACTTTTGCTTTTGAAATCTCATAATGCCTTGTGGGTAACAATATTTTTATATCAATAACAACAACAACAAAAAACACAGGTTCTATTTTTGTACTGTATTTCTAAAATCTTCTAACTCTATAAAACCAAATTTTGTCACAATAAATTGAAATATTTGTGTGTAATTTTGTTTAGATAGCATACATGATTCTTGTGTCTGCAGAAAAGTCATTGACATCCTGCAATAAGAACTAACAAAGTCCCAGAAATATTATTGATCAAATTGTTGAGAATTAGCCACCATTTGGCAGATTTCTATTGTAAATTAAGCCATCCAACCATTTCATTCAAATCTGTTAAGAAAAATGTAAGAACAGGTTTGGGGTACTGAGGCAGAAAACAAAATACTAGTACAAGTAGGCTGTATCTGAGATTGCTTTGATGCTTATGCTGTACTAAAACCTGAAGCTTCTTTTAACTCACTGATTAACAATCCAATCAATTGCAATTGTCTTTTGAAGGCAAAGGTATCCAAGCACCTTAAATGGCAGATGACTGAGAATGATATGTGATTCTGGTAGATAACATGTGGCAACAGGTAATTGAGAATGATACGTGATTCTAGTAGATAACACGTGGCAACAGGTGATTGAGAATGATATGTGATTCTGGTAGATAACATGTGGTGACAGGTGATTGAGAATGATATGTGATTCTGGTAGATAACATGTGGCAACAGGTAATTGAGAATGATACGTGATTCTAGTAGATAACATGTGGCAACAGGTGATTGAGAATGATATGTGATTCTGGTAGATAACATGTGGCAACAGGTAATTGAGAATGATACGTGATTCTAGTAGATAACACGTGGCAACAGGTGATTGAGAATGATATGTGATTCTGGTAGTTAACATGTGGTGACAGGTGATTAAGAATGATATGTGATTCTTGTAGATTGGTAACAGATGGTTGAGAATGATATGTGATTCTGGTAGATAACATGTGGTGACAGGTGATTGAGAATGATATATGATTCTTGTAGATAACGTGGCAACAGGTGATTGAGAATGATATATGATTCTTGTAGATAACGTGGCAACAGGTGATTGAGAATGATATGTGATTCTGGTAGATAATGTGTGGCAACAGGTGATTGAGAATGATATGTGATTGGTAGATAACATGTGGCAACAGGTGATTGAGAATGATATATGATTCTTGTAGATAACGTGGCAACAGGTGATTGAGAATGATATGTGATTCTGGTAGATAACATGTGGCAACAGGTGATTGAGAATGATACATAATTCTGGTAGATAACATGTGGTGACAGGTTATTGAGAATGATATGTGATTCTGGTAGATAACATGTGGCAAACCATATGTAAGGACCATTTCATGAAAAGGAGTGTATGGTATACTTTGGGGTTGAAAAGAAAATCATACCTCAGCTTCTCCGAAGGTTATAAACTCCAAACACTCTTCATTTACTGTAAAGTGTAACATTTTATTCTAGTATTGCAAGATCTGAAGCTTAGGGACCATAATTAAATTTATAAAAAAATCATATATATTTATATTACAAGCTAAGACAAAATGTCCAACATTTATTTATTGACATTTTTGTACTGTCAAATCATTGCACAAAAAGTTGCAAAAATCAGATCTGAAATATTCCAGAATTTCTATCATTTTATCCTCTATAAAATACATTTAAAATTTTAATGCAGAAAAATAAAAATGAAATAAGTTGTAGAAATATTCTTTTTTTTTTATCATTATAAATTGTTCAATATGGTACTGCATTAAAAATGTTTTAGTCAACTAGTACAGTCAGTAGGGTTAAACTTTTTTTTCTAAATACCTATTAAAGTCTATATATTAATCACTTGGTCAACTGGCACAGAAACCACGGCTGATAAGGTTAAAACGTTTTTTTTTATGCCTATTAAAGTCGTTTTTTGACTTAATACAAACTACCAAGAATTTACCTGCAGCTTTTTAATTAAAATGTTTAACTGATTGTGTGGAACATATTTATCAATTTTGATTAAAAGTCTTGAAAAATATATTAAAAATATAGTTTCAAAAGAAAAATTTGCTTTTGTGTTCAAACTACTATTATCATTGTTGTTTATTTATATACTTATAATGGATGGGTAAAATAAATAGTATGAAAAAATTATCGAAGAAATACATTTGTTGGAAAACTCTTGGACAAAAATTACATGTACTACTGATTTCGCTTTAAACTTGAATGTATGAAATTTTTACCTCTTTAAATTCTTTCTTGAATACCTTTTGAATATCTTTTCTTATTTCTTAGTGATATGTGCTTGAAGTATGTCATACTTTCTGAATTTGTAAATGTTAAATGGTTTTTCTAAGTATTTTAAAGTTTTGAATCTTTACAGTGTGCGATTTCCTTGTTGTTAGTATGTCAGATGTTCCAGTAGGTGGCTTATAATTTATCATTGGTGTTATTAAATATCCAGAATTCAGTACATATTAAACAACATATACAGGATAATAATTAAGAAAATTCCATATATTTTTTGTAATATTAAACCTAGGGACCTGGCTGTGCTTCGCGGGCAAAGTTGCACCATTGGATTTTTAAAAAATCATAGAAAACAAATTAGTAGTCAGTCTTCCACACATAAAAAAAAACATTTTTAGAGGTTTTTTCATTTAATAAATGTTTTGATTTTGAGCTTATTTCAGCATGCTCCAAATGAAACATTAGTGTTTGTGAATTTTCTAAGTTTTTATGAGCATAACATGGCACTCGTAGCCCCTAGATAAAATTGTTTTTGAACCAAGTTGTGCCAATTTGTACATTCTAACTTCAGTACAAATGTAGTTTTATTGATTTTTAACAAGTCATTGTTTCTCAACCTTGGTTGTCATGGTGTAATGTAATTGATAAAGTGATAAAAACTTAGTTTGGTGATATATTGCAACAAAATAAGAGAATATAAGAAGATTGGTGACTAAATCTAAATGTATTAAACCCAACATAAAAGTTGAACTTAAACAAATATGGGAAAATAATAATTTGGTAATGCTGTTGTAGTAATGAATTATTATGATTATTTAGTAAAATGAGTGAATTATTGAGTGATCAAGAGCATTATAAACTTTTAACTAACAACCCTACCAAAAACATAGAGAAGAAACTGAACCAATTTATATTAGGTTTAAAAAAAGAAATTTGTTATATGATTCTGTTTATAATTTTTTGAGATTTAGTGATGCAAAAACACCTTACATTTATGGGTTTCCCAAGATACATAAACAAGATGTACCTCTCACACTTATTGTATCCACTAGAAGAGTATTTATTTATTTATAACCTAGGTAAACTTTTAGCTTCAATATTGAGACCTTATGCATTACTGAGAGAATGTTATAAAAAATACAGAACATTTTACCAAGTTATTACGTACACTCAATCCTTGTAGTTTGTTAATTAATTTTTATGTTATTTCACTATTTACTCAAGTACCAATCAATGAATCTATTGATTGTGCTCTTTCTTGTTTTATACAAGATGAAAATTTAAGAACAAAACTTTAATCAGAAGTTTTAAAACAAATGTTAATTTTTACAACAACACAAACTGTATTTCAAGTTAATGAGGAATTTTATGATCAGATTGAGAGAATAAGCATGGGCAGTCCATTAGCACCTGTTCTAGCTAACATCTTTATGAACATGCTTGATTATAAAGTTAAAAGCATGGTTAATCTAAGAATATGCTTTTTTTGTCCGATATTCTGGTGAAATGGTTGAACAGTTTTTAGTATTTTTATATTCATGACACCATAATATTAAATTTACCCATGAGAGTGGGTTAACTTTTCTCAATGTCATGGTTAGTAGGTTTAATGATGCTTTTAAAATGAAGGTAATTAGAAAAGAAATACATACTAATCTATACTTGAATTGGCTCAGCTCATCACAAATTTCAAAAAATAGAGATTATAAAAACTTTATTGGCCATTGCAAAAACTAATTGCAGTTCAAAAGAAGGAAGTACATTGTTTGGAAAAAGTATTGGCAAAAAAAATGATTATCCTCTTAATGTGGTTAGAAAATACTTGAGAACTGATTTATTCAGGTAATTTGATTTATTGTATAATTCCTTATATATCTAGCTTATCAAATATGATAGAAGGACTGTGAAAAGAATCCAAAAGGAAGTATAAGCTTCCAGTTGTGGGAAAATTTTTATTTTTACCAGAAAAAAAGATGGATATAATCTTTAAAAATAGAATTAAACTAACTACTATCGAGAGAAGGGTAGTTTACATTGTAGAATGTATGGACTGTAATAATCTCTATATAGGGGAGACTGGTAGAAATTTAAGTACTAGAATAACGGAACATGAACATGCTCCATCATGTGTCTACCAACATGTATGGACTGTAATAATCTCTATATAGGGGAGACTGGTAGAAATTTAAGTACTAGAATAACAGAACATGGACATGCTCCATCATGTGTCTACCAACATGTATGGACTATAATAATCTCTATATAGGGGAGACTGGTAGAGATTTAAGTACTAGAGTAACAGAACATGGACATGCTCCATCACATGTCTACCAACATGTATGGACTGTAATAATCTCTATATAGGGGATACTGGTAGAAATTTAAGTACTAGAATAACAGAACATGGACATGCTCTATCATGTGTCTACCAACATTTTAAAGATGCAAAACATTGTAGTGAAAATATAATTGTTAAAAATATTTATTGAGAACCTAATATTAATCAATATAAAATAAATGTAATTTTATTAAAGGAATACAAATGTTTAATAAATAAAACTCAAGGAGTAGGTTTATACTTATGCCAAGCTCAGAGTTATGTTTGTGATGTCACCAATTGGGTATATTTAATTGTTGTGTACAATTGTGCTGAGTACCCGATGATGCCACATTAGTGGCAAAACATTGTTTTTAAATGATTTTTTTTTCTCTCCCATTTTAGTTGTTTTTAATTTAAAAAAAAATGTTTAACAACTTTTCCCACTCTTATAGTCCTGATTTGTATTTAAAGCTTGCCTTGTTCTATACTTCATTTGAGTTATGGTAATTAATGTATTTCATGGAACAAGATGAGGTGGTTTAGTTAGATCATTTCACTCTCAATCATATCAAGTTTTGTTTCACTAACAAGGCTGCTGTTTATTAGGTCATATTTATGTTAGGCTTTATCAGCCTGAGCAACGGCTTGAATGGGTAAAGAAAATCACCAAAAAAGAAATTCATATAAAACGGTTCTAAAACTTGCTACTATATCAGATTAAAACCTTCTAATGAAATATAAAAAAAGTTAGCTTGCTTATAAATTTGGGATGGTGAAAAAGTTATTTTTATCGTACGTCAGTGAAACTGCGTTCAATGTTTTTCAAGGAAAACTAAGAAAAATTTGTTTGCTAGAATAAAAATTTTATTTGAAATTTTAGAAAATATAGAAAGACATAAAAATCACTAATTGAAATGTACATCAAAGTAAAGCAATTCATATTGTTTCATTAAAAAAAAACCTCACAATGAAATCTATTTGACTTTTTAAAGTTGCAAACTCATAATAAAGATATATATATCACATGTAAGAATACAATCCATTTGGTAGGAATTTAGGTTAAAAGTATATTTCATTTCCTTTCGGGGAATGAAATATAACATGTGGCAGTCAGAAACTTCCGCTTCTCTTCACCCCACTTCATAAATAGAATTAAGTGGCCGAGTCATTTAAGAATTAAATGCTTACGTGAGTGAAAGTTTGTTAATTTTTCTAATGACGAATTCACAAGCTTTGGGAAGAGCCGAGGGGAGATGCGAAAAATAAGAGAAAGAATACAGTATTTTGCAGAAGCTATATAATCTGTAGAAAGTTCATCTCAACCTTCAAAAATTTCACCCAGTAATTTATTTATTTTAATTTTTTGAAATGCAATAAAACACCATACAACAGGTGCTCCAAACTGATACTATCAGGTGTTTAAAAAATTAATCTTATGGCAGCTGTACTTGAATAGTCAAAATGTTCTTCTTTGTTTAATAGAGTTTGTAAAAAGCCTTAGACGTGGGTTGCCAGTCTCATTTGTTATAATGTTTATGGAGTTAGTTACTTCTAGGCTTCAAACAGTATTGCAGTGCTGCATCGTGCAGTAAGTCACTTCAAGGTGCATTCCAGTTTCTCGTGTACACTGTGGCAGAATTTTGTAGTGATAGTCCTACTAATTGTTCAGAAATTGTTTACACAACATGAAGTCTAGTTATATTTAAGCATAGCTTTTATTTGTATTTAATCATGGAAAACCTTGTTTTTCAAAATGCCAGGCAGCAATTCTCATGCCAGCTCATTTCATTTCAAACTAGCATAAAATACTCATGCTCTGCTGCAGGATTCTAAGGTCCCCTCATGATTCACAGAGGTACCAGTCATGTGTCTCCATTATCTTAATTACTTCTATATCTACCCCAATGTGCCAATTCTTTAATTGATTTGTCTGTTGCCTTTTCCAAACTTAATTCAATTCAACTCTTTTTTTAAAAACAAATAATTTTAATTTAGCTTTTCAGATTCAATTTTTTTGTCTTCCTTGGAAATTTTATCTGAATTCTTTTCATTCCCCAAAGTCTCCAATATTCTCTGATTCATATTTTTAGTCCTGTTGTTTGTTGTCATTTCCCAAACTTAGTTCAATTCAACTTTTTTTTTAATTCTCAACTCTGTATTTTTTCTTCCCATGTTTGTGTTTAAAAAGAGTATTTAGCAGAAAACCTCCATATATTGTTCGTTCAGTGAGTGAGAATTAGAAAATAATATGATACTTTTCTATAGACCTTCAGGAAGCAGAATCAGGGGCTATAGAGCAAAAAATTGTCCAAAATTTTTTGAGTCAAATCTAAAAAATAATACCCATGTGCACACTTTCAGAATCCCCTTAGTATGCATGCAAAGTTTCAGGTCTCTAGGTTCTTTCCTCTTGGAACTATGGTGGTCACACACACACACACACACACACTCAACGGCAGGCTCTTTTATTATTATAGATGAAAATAACTAGCCTCTAGCAAAAACACATATTGCATTGTCTATCATAGTATTACAAGTAGATCATCTATTTCTGTGTAAATAAATTTGCTCTTATGGCTAATAGAGTAAATGTACAAGACTAAATTAAATCAATTGTTTACACATACAGTATTTTTTTAGCAGTAATTAAAGTGATTAGTTTGTTATTTAAGATACTATAGAATACAAATGTTTTTCTGGATTTTGTCATTTAGTAAGAGATAAAGGTTGTATGCAAGCCAATTAAACTGGTATTTATTTTACCTCCTGGAACATCAAGCAATGGATAACAACAACTGGTCTGATTGGAATTGAGTCCAGCTTTAAAATCGCACACTGTTTATTGCCTTTCTACTTTTGAATACCTTTAAGATTTACCCTAATTAGAGTGTCCTTTATTTTACTCCATAACTTGCTTTTTTTTTTATTCTCCTTTTTGGTGTACTGGAACATGTATCAGGTGTATTGTTTAGTCAATCTGTGATGGTGTGCATGAGAAGCTTGTATAACTCTTGTCTTTTTGTGCTCATGAGATATCTGTCCTATTCTGTAACCACTCTACTGTCGCTTCCAGTTTGGTGTACTGACCCATGTTGAACCCAGGTTGGGTCGAAAGTTGAGTCAACCACTCATTAATATTATTCGCAGGTAATCATTTTGTTTTAACCAGCATCTTAGAAGATTCCTGTTTAAAATGCTTGTGGTTTTTGTTACATCTCTCTTGTGTGTTTTGCTGTCAGTTTAACTGCTTGTTATTCTCCAAGCCTGCTTCAGAAATTTTTGTAAATCCTACAATTCCTGCATAAAGCACATATACTTTAATATTTACTCCTGCATGCTAATGCTTTAATATGAATCCCAAATGTTTGTTGAAAATGTATGTATAGTGATTGGTAGGTATCATTCAGTGATTTTTAAAAACATCATAGGTAAGTAATCATTGGATTAAAGAGAAAAGTAATTTTTGTTCATACTTCAGCAAACAATAATATCAATTTATAAATCAATCATTCATGTCATGACACTTAATATAAGTATGTAAAAATACTGCTTATGAACTATCTTTGAGAAAAGCAACTTACGCACACACACACGTTTTATCAGAAACACTGTTATTGGTTGCTGTAGCTCAAGAATTTAGGCAGTTGACATTAAATATACCCAAGTTTGGTTGGGCTTCAATTTGAAATTCAGTCTAATTCATAAAATTATTATTATGGTTTTTGTAATTAACACTTCAGAATTGGAGTAGAATGCTTACGTTTCAAGGGAAAAGCAATTCTTTGTATTTTATTACTTTTGTTTCCCTATACCAGACTTGGGTAGTTATGCTGACTGAAAGACAAAATCTTTTTTTCTTTTTTTTTAATGTATAGATGCCACCCCCTGCTTTCGTCCTTTATACCCCTGTTTTTTCTCTCGAGGTCTGCTTGCAGCTGATTTTTATTAGTAAATGTTTTCATCTTCTTTACAGATTAAAAATGAATGTATTTCAATAAAGTTAGTTTTTTAAATTATTTAAATAAATTAGCTGGTGTGCTATTCAGGTTAATGAATTCACCAGAAAAATGAACCTGGTGAATTATCAGGCATTTTTAATATACATTAAATGGTTAGATGTTTTGTTTTAATAAAATTCTATATACTGTTGTTGGTGTTACGTAAAAGGCAGACTTTGTGTGAAAAAACAGGGTTTAATACCTTCGAAGGTTTCTCTGTATGCTATAGACACACGTTTGAACAACACTTTATTTTTCAGTTTGGTGCTCTGACCCCGCTAGAACCTAGGCTGGGTAAAAAGTTGATAGAACCCCTCACTAATTTAATTCACAGGTAATACTGTTTGTGTTTGAATTAGCCTATTTAATTTTGCATCCATATTTTTCCATGTTTTAGAGGGTTTTTTTACGGTTTTATAAGTTTTATAGATTAAAAAAAGGTAAACTTGTATACATTAAATCAAGAAGAATTTTTTTTTATTTTTCATAGTATGATTAACTGTTTATTTTAACAGTACTGATTTAAACTTTTTACCACAGTGATATGAAAGAGGGACAAATTTTTGGGTTAGGCCTGTACTCAATTCTATGTTAAAACCTCAAGGACAATTAAGTGGTTATTTATGGCATTGAAATTGTTTTAATCTAAAATTCTTTGTCATATAAATGTTTTGCTGGTGTACTTTGGCTCATACAAAACTTTGCAGGAAATTGTGTTTTTCAGAGTAATAGATATTTGAGTACAAACTGGAAACCTACTAATCTGAGCATTGGGAGGTAGACCTTTTTTCCCTGAAGGAGGAAGATCTACTTTCAAAACCACTTGGGTCAGAAGATTTCTTGTTTTGTTATTTATTATTTATCTAATTTTAATTCTTCACCATTTCTCAGTATCAATTATATTTGAGACTATTTCATACATATTAGTTTTCCCTTACAGGTTTGAGCAGCTATGTATTTTGGTTGCTGATTTGTATTAGGTTTTATTAAATTTAAACACTCATAAATTAATTAAAACTTTTTTTTGTGTGTGTGCTTGATTATGTTTCCCTATGTTTTTTTTGTTTTTTAATTTTTATAATGAGCTATTATTGTGTATTAGTTTGAGTTGTTAAATAAGTGTCTTACTTGTAGTATTAGTGGGCTAACCCTTTGGCTCAGTTTATGAAGTACCTGCCTGGTGTCCAAAAGAAGGTCCCAGGTTCATTCCCTAATCCAGGAGATACAAAAAATTTATAATGTACCAAGGTTTAGTTTCTGTGTAAATTTGAATTTTGTAGTCTATAAAAATAAATTCTCTGCCTACTTATGATCATACATACAAGAGGAACTGTGTGGAATCATGGTGCTTATCATCACACTCTCAATTTAATATTCTTGTGTTATCAGGCTTTTAGTACTTTACTAAGACCTCTTAGCTCAAGTGTTTTTGAAGCATGACTCTTTATTGAAAATGTAAGTTTGTAATATTCATTCTGCTAATAAAGATAGTATAATTATAAATATAGCAACTCAACAGTTTGATTTCAATTAGGAGAGAGATAGACAATAAAAACTGAACTATTAATATTTAATAGACTGGAAATGGTTAAATAAAACTATCTGAACTTTTTAGAATTTTTCTCTCAGACAGTTGTGTTTTTAACTGTTTGTTTCAAACCATTTTTAAAAAGTTTCAAAAGTGAAGCATATTATGCCCAGTAACATTCATACAGTTAACTTTAGAAAGACTTCTAAACCACTGATATTCTTGGAGAGCATTTGATGGAGATGAATAGTTAAAAAGAATTAATTTTTGTTTTCTCTCTCTCTTGTTTTTTGGCTGCATTTTTGTTGTATATTCTTGTAAAAATCATCTGTTGAATATTTGGGGGGTGCAGATCGAATGTGAGTGATAGGTGTTACGTTTTTAACATCATACATGAAGACAAACCAATGTTTTGTTCAAACATGTATATTCCTCTAAAAATAAATTGTTTCATTATGCTTATAAGTTGTCACTTAGGAGTCTATTTGTTTAGTTATAAGACTTTTAACCACCTTCCAAACATTATTTTTGTTTTAGCTTTATCATTCACAAGTTTTCTTTCCTGAATTTATTTTAATTCTTCCAGTGAACTTTTTCTAATTCAGTATGTTTTTCATGATTATTGTAAATTTAAGTTTTCCTCCTCTCTTTTGGATTATATTTTTGTTTTTGTGATAAATTTCTTCAAATTTGTAAGTTTTGGGTTGTATTGGTAATTGTGGAATACAATTTCCAAACATTTTCCATGTTATAACTTTTTTTACAATACTATTTCTCATATTTGTGAAACCTTGAGAGAACACCCCACAGGGGAAGAAGTCACACCAGATATTTTTATAGTAGGTTTACTTACCTAAAAGTGATATAGTTGAGGTCATGATTTTTCCCAAAATTTCTGGAACTTCGTAGCTTGGGTAGTGTTTGTATGTAGTAACCTAACTTAGAAGAAATCATTTTATATAATAGTGATCTTTCATATTTTGAAAGGTTACAGTATTAAAACTATTGTAAAAAAAAAGAACATTTTGCCTTTTGTAGTGATGATTCTTTACTTATTCTAATCTCCAGATTACATTTGTTTACAATATTATACTTCATCTTTCATAGCCCCTTTTATATCCCAAGCCACTTTATAACTACTGTATATTGCTGTTTTAATGTGGTGTATTCAGTGTCTGAGCTCTTGAATGGTTAGTTTAATAACTGTTCTTCAGATATTTACATATAAATACCATTTATTTTATTGAGATTGCATGTACTTTCCCATGGGGTGAACTTGCAGTGTTTTTGGAATATTGCATTCATTTATGAAGATGTAATGAAAATGGGCAGTCTGACAGAAAAGAAGATAAGCTCTCTTGTGATACAACTATTCTAAAATTCAATAATAAATAAATGGTGAAGTTTATTTCAGATAAATTGTTGACTTAGTCTGTTTCTTCGTTGAATTAACCTGTTTCAAATCCTAAATGGAAAATGTTTTTCTGATATATACAGATTAAAATAAATCTTGATGCCATTTTCTTAACTCTGCAAAAAAAAAAAACTATTCAAGTTTAGCTTTTCATTTAAAATCATCTTTAGAAATTCTTTTAAAGAATTTTTTTGTTCTCCATTGACTAAAAATAGAGACCTGAATGTTAACAATAATGATGAATTTCCACTATTCAATTAGAGCAGGCAAAGAGTTATTGGTGGAGATTGCTGGGTAGATGGTTTCCCTTTAGAGCTGGATGGTTACTTGATTAACCTACAAGCACTGATTACATTGATTAGTATCACAAAATAATTCAACAATCAGAATGACAATGAAATTAGTTTGTCGTGAAAATAATTCAACAATCAGCATGACAATGAAATTAGTTAATGTCGTAAAAATAAGTCAACAATCAGAATTACAATGAAATTAGTTAATGTCATGAAAATAATTCAACAATCAGAATGACAATGAAATTAGTTAATGGCGTGAAAATAATTCAACAATCAGAATGACAATGAAATTAGTTAATGTCATGAAAATAGGTCAACAATCAGAATTACAATTAAATTAGTTGATGTCATGAAAATAAGTCAACAATCAGAATTACAATGAAATTAGTTAATGTCATGAAAATAATTCAACAATCAGAATGATGATGAAATTAGTTAATGTCGTGAAAATAATTCAACAATCAGAATGACAATGAAATTAGTTAATGGCATGAAAATAATTCAACAAACAGAATTACAGTAATATTAGTTGATGTCATGAAAATAAGTCAACAATCAGAATTACAATTAAATTAGTTAATGTCATGAAAATAAGTCAACAATCAGAATTACAATGAAATTAGTTAATGTCATGAAAATAAGTCAACAATCAGAATTACAATGAAATTAGTTAATGTCGTGAAAATAATTCAACATTTAGAATTACAATTATATTAGTTGATGTCCTGAAAATAATTCAACATTTAGAATTACAATTATATTAGTTGATGTCCTGAAAATAACTCAACAGTCAGAATTACAATTAAATTAGTTAATGTCATGAAAATAATCAACTAATCAGAATTAGTGTTTTTGGTTATTACTGTTTTCATTTATTTCAAATATCCAAGAATTGAAATATTGCTATTATGATATCTCTCTCTCTCTCTCTTTTCTTTCTTCTTCTTTCTTTCTTTTTTTTTTTTATTATTATTATCATTGTTATTATTGTTAATTCAAGTTTGTTCATTTCTGACAAGACTCATGACTGCATGGTAAAAATCCAATAATTGAAACTTGTGTTTCTGAATATTACTATTTTAAATTATTCCAACTATCCAAGTCTTATGAGAATAACTGATTAGTTAAAATTAATCAACTAATGAACCTAATGATTAATCATTTAGGAAATTCCACTAATCACCCAACTGTAATTCCCCTTAGTGTATCAGCTCAAAATTTGGGATGGCTAGCACAAATAGCCCTTGTATAGCTTTTGCAAATTCTGACATTATCAATTGGTGATATTTAAATTTCAAAATGACAAGCTTTAAGAACATTTTGATTTAAAAACAGTTATAAACAGAAATTATATTCTTACATGAGGTGTCCAATATGTGTGTGTGGAAGACACCTCATTCATTGGGAAATCTTGTTTGTGAGTGAAAAGTTATGCTTTTATGGATGACTGATATATTTTCATTATACTGGGTTTAAAATTTGGTGTTTAATTCTGCTCTTACTTTCCATATGATTCTTCTATTTTAAACATTGATGACTGAGCAAAAATATTGTGAAGTCAAAACTAGATGGAATACTATAACAGTCTTGGACTAGTTAACTAGTCATGACTGGATAACTGCTTTCATGACCACATCAACTGACATCCAGTTGATCCTACTTAGGTCTGTGTGCAGAAAGCAAGTACAAATGAAGTCTAACATGACTTGTTCTGAATCTAGAGAAAATGCTGGAACAAAAGTAACATTGAAACATGCTATATGTATGGTGTTTTAATAGTCTTTGATCACCACAATGAACCTATATTTATATAGGATTGTATAAATATGCAACATTGATGGTACTAATTTATTGTGAATTATTCAGTATGCATGGTTTTAAAATAATAAATATGAAGCACTATCATTTGATTTACCATTTGTTACGGAGTTATATAGGTTTGGGGGAATTTCACCAAAATGTTGCATTTAACTTGGGGAGTGTGGAAGCAGTATCGTGTTCCACTAACTTCAGCACAAGATGTCCATCAAGACAACTCATCATATCAGGCTAAAACTGCTGCCTTTATAGTGACTGCCATTCTTTAAAAAAGAGGGGAAACAAGTAATAAAAAAACTTTGAAAAAAAATACCGATGATGTAGGGATGACAATGCCAAAAAGTACAAAAACAAGGTAGGAATGAATACACAAAACCATACAAAAATCCCTACATAAGTAGCCACTGAGTCAATGTTACAAGCTTATGGGAATTAGCCATTGTAAGACTTTATACTATTATTCAGTTTAAATGCTTTTATTCGAATCTGAATTCATCCAAATGAAAGGAATTCAACATTTAGATGTAGATAAAAGGTTTTCTAGGAAATATTTGGCTACTTGTAGAGGGATTTTTGTAAGGTTTTGTATTCATTCCTATCTTGTTTCTGTACTTTTCGGCATTGCCATCTCCACGCCATCCATATTTTTTTTCAAAGTTTTTTTATTTCTTGTTTTTAATATTGAAACATACTGTTAAGGTTCTATGCTTCAGCTGTTTTTGTTGTATAGAGGCTTCCTTTAGTAAGTGGTTCATTTGCTGACCATGCAAATGATTTGTTAAACATTCTAACATCATTACAACATAAAGTCTAGTGTAGACTTTAGTGTTCACTTGACAGACTTCTATCAAATAATTTGTTCTGATATGGAAAATTGAAACAGGCTTGAACTCCAACAGAACATTGTTACCATCATAAATTTTTAACCTGCAAAACTTGATTAATAATCAAACTGTATTTTTATTATAATAAATAATTAAAAACAACATTTACTATTTATACAATTAAAATTTTATTGAAGCCGTACGACTTCCACTTTAAAACAACACTGTATTTTTATTTAAGGTGCCTGTAAATCTTGCTGTAATAGAACGTAGAGTAGGTTGTTTATGTTAATCTAAAATCAAAAACATCATTATCATTAAAATTATGTTGTTTTATTTCAGATATTTCTCAAATAAACATGTGGCAAGCAATACATAATATTGCCACATGTAACTAGTGAAAAGTTACTCTTTGTTTTTATAAAAGTATATATGATGAGGAACAGTGTGCTGATAAACTTATTTTTAATTTTGTTTTTTGTTAAATTTTCTTAAATCAGTTATTTTCCACATGTATAAGTCATATTGTAGTACATGTATAGTTGAAGTAGTATTGGATTTATGTGCTACATATATCCAGTGCATTATATTTATTAATCATTTTTTTTATATATGTAAAGATGAAGAATAAAGTGGAATGCTCATTTTATATGAAAAGATTGTTTTTCTTTTTTTAGTTCAGATGTTTTCTATATGTTTATGTAGCATCAATATGTATGTTACCTTAGGTAACAAACTGGATTTATGTACTTGTTTTTATAAGAGTAGATGTGATGATGAATTACTATGTTTGCTAATTTTAACTATAACAGATTGTTAAGTTTTAACTCGGACATATATAGTAGTAATGCATAACATTGCTGCGGGTAACCAACAAATTGTACTTTAATAATGTGTATTTATTTTTATTTCTTTAAAAAAATGGTATTCCAAACAATGAGTTAATATTATGTTTTTAAATATATCTTTGTCATGATGTAGTAGCTTTAAACCAAGTTATTATGAAATCTTAAAAGTACTTTTATCAAGTGGTTAAAGTTTCTATTCGGTTATTTTAAAAAAGTTATTTCAAACATTAACTAAAAACACTGAAGTAGGGTTTAATAGATATAATGTTTGAGTGTTAATAAGAAAGGAGTAGCAAAATATTTGTTGTTACAAATATTGTAACAAAAGTATGACATTAAACTTCAGGTTTTAATAAGTTGATTATCAATTTTTCAGCACATCAGCCATGTCTCTTCTTTATGAATGCATCAACACAGTAATAGCAGGTAAGCATGTGAAAGCTCAAATGTTTTCAGTAAAACATTTCTTTTGACAGTAATTGTAGAAGATCATGGCAATATTTTATATGGCAAACTCTACAATATCAATTTGCGAATTTAACTTAACTTTTGAATGTATCAAAATAGTTTTCATATTATTTTCATTGAAACAAATATTTTTTATATTTTGGGAAAGGTAAAAAATATTGAGTACAAATGGGTAAAATAAGACATCGGTTGTAGAAATAACATCAGCTTGAAAAGGAAAATTTAAAGCATTCTTTTCTTCTTTAAAAAATGCACAGTATGCAATACGAACTAACCAATAATCTTAACTAGCAGGAGTTTGAGTAGCGTTTGATAGCGTTTTTGTCAGAAAAAAGGCTTATTATTCATTAAAAGTATACGTTGGTTATCATCACATTAATGAGGAATTCTATTTAATTAAATAGAAGATTAATAGTTTAATTTATTTATATATATTTTTTTTACTGTGTTTAGTAAAATAAAAATTCAGTGCATCATGCAGTGTAAATGTTTCAGTATATTAAGTATATTCTCATGATTTAAGTATCCCTTATAGTTTTGTAATGCAATGTTTTATGAGTATCACTAAAGCAAGCCTAACCCTATATGAAGTGAACACTATACTTTTTTTCTGGAATCCTAATTAAATTATTTAAATCTTGGTAGAAAAGATAAATCCGTAAAAATCATCAACAATACACTTTTGCAGAGCTTATCTTCACTTAAATGTTTCTATCCATACCATGATGGTTCAAATCACTGCCTTGTATGCTACACGTTTTCAAGATATAACACACGGAGGCCTGGCATGGCTTGGTAGTCAGGGCACTTGGTTTTGCAGTCTGCAGGTCTAAGGTTTGCATCCTCTCACCTAATGTTCCCTTTTAATTGTGGAGCCGTTATGATGTGATGGTCAATTCCGCTATTCGATTAGTGTAACCAAAGAGTTGGCAATGGGTAGTGTGACTAGCTGCCTTCCATCTAGTCTACCAAACGTAAACTAGGGATGACTAGTGTAGATAGCTCTCAAGTAGCTTTGCACAAAATTCAATAAAACCATATGGACAGAGATTATTGATACAAGATTTCATGAAAGAGCTTAAGGTTCAAGCTTTCACTCTGAACAGTGGCAAAAAAGTGGTCATTATAGGTCCAGCACTAGCTATTTTTGCCACTCTAAGCAAGGTTTCAATCTTCCGATTTTAATTTGTACAACAAAACTGAAGTGCACAAATAAAATAAAATTGATTTATTTATTAAAACCTGAGGAAGTGTTAACATGTGACCACCATGCCAGATCAAAATCTGATGCAAAATCTCGCACTATTTGATTCATGTAAAGTGATTGTGCAGTTTCATGCTCAATTGAAATTCTTGCCTGTCTAACCAGGCTTATTTTGCCGTGGTTGATCTTAGAAAGGTTTTAATCATTTTGAATTTGGAAAAACTTCTTTCACTATTAGCAGTGGTGATGGGCAAAGTCACCAGTGTAACAAAGTTGTTGGGAAATGATGATGACAATATGTTCTGACACGTATTCCAATGCACTTTGGGGGGGGGGGGGGGTAATTTTAGTCACTCTTCATGCAGTTCACCACACAGTTCTGTTGCATTGATATCAGTTGCCAATAAATCTGAACAATGAGATTTTTTTGTGTAGTTGATAAAATATCTCTTTTTCCACAGATTCAATGATTGTGTTGATAGTTTTGTTCAATTTTTGAAGCCTATCTTTGTAGTGACTGTTTTTGCTTCAGAACTCCTGCAATGAAGACACCATTGTCTTAGTTTGTGTTGGAATGCACAATTAATGAAAAACTGAGAACTTTAATAATATTTTCAAACAAGGAATAGAAGCAGAAAAGTAGATGTATGTGCTTAAATCTAGTCAATAAACACCACTACCTTTGTGCACCTGTTAGCTGCACAATTCAACATATGATTCATTAACTGTATATTGAATGGGACAACAAAAGCTCTTGAATTTTGGTCTAGTCTTTTTTTTTGAAGACCATTGTTCTTGCTTTTTGTGTTGGCTCCATTGTCGTATCTCTGGCTTTATAAACCATCCTGGAACTGTGTTATTTCCTCAAGTTTGCTCAGAACAACTTCATGAACACTTATGTCTTTCAGTGACAGATATCTAAGGAAATACTTGTTGATACTAAACTCACCTACTTCAGTGGTAGATTCCCCAGTAGCTGTGATAAACCATTGGTTCTGCAGACATGCATGTGGCATACAAACACAATCAAGTTAGAATTGACATTTCTAGCAATGGTCTTGTTAGATAGCAGTAAATTCAGCTCATTCTAGACTTTCTTTCCCAGATAATGATTAAAGATTATTTGCATGATAAATCTTTTAAAATATTATTGACAGGATTGAGGATAGCCATATGTTCAACATATTTCAAGAAATATCTATTTCTATGTATGAAAAGTTTCTCATGAATTCATGTAAATAGTAAAATTTTGGGCTCCATAAACTATCAAGACAATAAAGTATTGCATGAACAGTGCCCTAAAATTTTTCCAAATTAGCTTTTTTTTTTAATGTTGAGCATCAGTAAGACTGTGCACTTACTTTGTCCATGTCTTTAAATTCACTGTTTAACCACTTCTTAGGTATCCCATTTTAATTGTCACATTTTTAGCTATCTTGGAACTTTTATGAACCTGTACACATTTTTAGAAACTGCAGCATCTTGAGCACAGGTCAATATTTCAGGATTTTTTAAAGTTCTATAGTCATACACTTTAAAATGTTTGTATTCTTTATGTTTCCTAAAGAAATAGAAATTTCTGGTACATAGAAAGATATGTGTAATATTCCACCATCACTTTCTTAATTACAATGAGAGCAATTACATTATAAACAAACAGTAGTGGCCTTGTAACTTCTCTATTTATCACCCAGGTGGTTGCCCCATTGCCTATCTTATAATGCCAACTTTGTCTGTATAAAGTGACTTTTTCTCTAGGAATAACTTCAAAGAACTTTTAAGTGTTATATAATAAGTTACACTTATATTATACCTTATACTAATAGTATTGAAATTTAAGGCTTAAATATCGATTGCTTTTTGGTATGACTAATTTTTTTTAAAGTGCTTTGTTAAGATAATTTATAGAATCACAATTTTTCACAGTATATGGACACCATATGCTTAATGTTGTCTTTTTAGTGTGTTTATATTAACATATTTCAGTATTTTGCTTGGATTTATTAATTTTCAAATAGTTATTCTTATGTAGAGATTGTTATATAAAATTGCCCCCCCCCCCCAGTGGCACAGCGGTATATTTGCAGACTTGCAACACTAGAAACAGGGTTTTGAGCCCTGTGGTGGGCAGAGCAGGGATAGCCCATTGTGTAGCTTTGTGCATAAATTCAAACAAACAAACTATAAAATTGTGACTCCCTTTTCTAGTCTAATTTTTGTTATTAACAAGTTATCTAATGAGTAACATGTCACTTTTCATGATTAAAAGTAACTAGAAACATGTATACAAGATAATTCTTTGGCACTTCTATTTTGGCATGAATTTTATGTCATCAATATGATGAATGAGTACATTGATCTTAATTTGTGTTCAGTCAGGAACCTATTGAACTGAATAATTAATTCAAAAATACAACAACAGCAACTTTTACTGTAAAAGTTGATGTTAATGTGTTTTTGACCATATTTTAATATAGATTATAACTGTTTCATTTTATTAGGTTGTCAAGAAATTAATGTCACTTTTTTTAGATAATAAAACTTGAACAACTTGTATATCAAAACAAAACATTTATTAAATGAAATAGTTTCT